TTCATCTCCAGCAAATCTCCTGCTGCCAGGGCAGAATGCATTCATCTCCATGCAGCTGTGCAGAGGTGATGCCCCAGTGATTTCCACTACTTTTGGTTGGCTGGAGGCATTTTAGTCTGGAAAAGAGGAGGCCCAGGGGAGACATTATTGCTCCCTACAACTGCCTGAAAGGAGGTTGTAGCAAGGTGGAGGTCAGTCTCTTCTCCCAAGCAACAGTGATAGGGTGAGAGAGAATGGCTTCAAGATGCACCAGGGGAGGTTCAGGTTGGATGTTAGGAAAAACTTTTCAGAAAAAGGTGAAGCATTGAAACAGGCTGCCCAGGGAGGTGGTGGAGTCACTGTCCCTAGAGGTGTTCAGAAGAAGGGCAGATGTAGCAGTGAGTCTAGAGGTGAATCTACACCATGACCAAGGTCTACAGCGGTCACAGACATGGGCTGATGGTTGGACTAGATGATCTTAATGGTCTTTCCAACTTTATTGTCTCTGTGATTCTAAAGGCTGCAAGAACAGGAGATGAGGAGACCTTAGAGCTTGCTTGCATGGCAGTGATATATAAAAACACTTACCCCAGACTTTACCCACTGCAAACCAAAGCATAGAGAGAGAAAATGATATGCCCAGAGCTCCAAAAAGCCACCAGCAGAGGTAGGGGTTAACCTCAAGTCTCCAAAGGCATGGTCCAGCACTTAACCAATAATAATTTCCTTTTGCATGTGTGTGCTAATGATTATTTTGGGATTTCCTTTTCCAGAGAGGAAGGGAGTAAGAAATTAAAGATTGAAAAGGTGTAAGCTGGTCCCTAATATTACCTCTGGGACATAGTAAGGGTTTCAGACCATGTCTCTTTCCCAAATAGAGTTTTTCTTCCAAAAGAGCTGTAAAATCTTTCTGTGGAGCTTTCCTCTTCCCCCTGCAAGGCAAAGGCATATAGTGCTATATGTAAAGTGTGAACATGTTGCAGGTTTATTTCTCAGGCTCAGGTTGCACCAGAGCCAAAGCAGAGGCAGTAACCTTAGATTGATTTTTCTCCTTGCACTCTTAAATCATTCAAATCTGCTAACAGTCTCTCTGCTCAAGCAGGACGCGCTATTGTAGACCTTGATTGGATACAGAGGTTTGTTTATGGGCAACGCTGCAGGTTTTGTTTAATATTCCAGAGGTCTGGTAATTTACATCCATCGATTTACAAGGCACAATCTGTCAAGAGACACCAGCGTCCCATTGAATTGCAAAATGATTGAAATCATGGGTGACAACTAGCGTGTTAAGTTTATTTTTCTCATGTTTGTTGGAATGAAATGTTCCCTCTCCTCAGAGTGAGATATCTTGGCTGTGCTTACAAGCGAGCTAAAAGAAATTCCAAACAAAGCTGTAATTGTTATCCAGCAGCACAGGAAGACAACTCAGGACAACTGAAATTCATCTGTCGAGGCTGCAGGATGATAAGGGACTAAGGAGCAAGTTGTTGGCTGCTGTTTACCCAACCGTTGGGTGTTTTGTTGGCTAGAAGGGCTCATTGTTTGACTTGGTGTAAAGGTATTTACACCAAGGTATTTATAAAGGAGGAGAAGGAGAAGAAGATATGAGTGACTGTGGATCTATGGTGTTGCTTCTCCAGCATTTCAATTTGAGATGCCTCCTTCTGCCCTTTAAGTGGGGAGCTGAGAGTGTTCTGGTGGGTTGGATGACTATGGGGTGCAGGGTCACCCTTCCCTGGTGTCTGCCCAAAGAACTGCCCATCTCCAAAACAAATTCCAAAATATGTTTTTGTTCAATACCCCTTTGGGCTTCTGTGGGTTCACGTCTCCTGAACAAGGCTTTAAGAAATGGGATTTTCTCCTTGGCTGACTCAGCAGTGAGACAATCCATTCTGAATGCCTGAGGAAGGAGAAAGGACAAGTGGAGGGTCCCAGAAGTCTTTTGATCTCAAAAAGTGATGGTATATTTCAGGGCCTTCGTATCACATGAGAAGTGGATATACCTTTCTAAGTGAGTACTCAGTCTTCCTTCCCAACCTGGGGACACAGAACACCCAGAAGAACTTCCCACCTTGGGGATGCACAGCACCCAGAACTTCCCACCCTGGGGACATGGAAGACCCAGAAGAACTTCCCACCTTGGGGACACAGAACACCCAGAACTTCCCACCTTGAGAACACAGAACACCTGGAACTTCTCACCTTCAGGACATGGAACACCCAGAACTCCCCACCTTGAGGACATGGAATACCTGGAACTCCCTGCCTTGGGGACATGGAACACCCAGATCTTCCCACCTTGGGGATGCACAGCACCCAGAACTTCCCAATTTCAGGACATGGAACACCCAATAGAACTTTCTACCTTGGGGGTTTGGAACACCCAGAACTTCCCACCCCCAGAACATAGAACACCTGGAACTTCTCACCTTCAGGACATGGAACACTCAGAATTCCCACCTTGGGGATGCACAATACCCAGAACTTTCCACCCTGAGGACATGGAAGACCCAGAACTTCCCAATTTCAGGACATGGAACACCCATAGCTTCTCACCGTGGGGATTTGGAACACCCAAAACTTCCCACCCTGGGGACATTGAAGACCCAGAAGAACTTCCCACCTTCTGGATGTGGAACATCCTGAATTTCTCACTTTGGGGACAGTGAACACCCAGAGGAATTTAAGCACTCAGGCTTTAAATAAAGCACAGATTGCCCCTGTCTCTCTCCTCCTCTTATCTCCACTGACAAATACAATTACCACTTCACTTAAATTGCTGTAAATGAATTATAGAGAGCAGAAAAATGTGCATATATCTCTCTGCTGCAGAATTGAGCTGACTCTTGCATTTCAGGTGATGGATCCATCCATCTCCACTGCTGGAGCGAATTGACACAATCAAACCTGAGACTGCAGCAACATTCCTGTGCTGTAACAGCAAGTCCATCTCCATGATCAACACCAATAGAAACTTGTCTATATTTAGAATTTTATGACTAAAAATGGATTTTTTTTCCCCCCCATTCTGCAGACCTGAATCTGCATGATCCAAAAGCCCCGCCACCCTCTAGGGAAACAAATGTCATAGCTGAAAGGTTTGTTAAAATTAAACTTCATCCATATTGCTGTGATTGGAGGAGTTGCTGAAGGAGGCTGCTTCCTGGAGCTGTATTTAACGTGGTTTTTTCCTTGCATGGTTTTCTCTGTAGTCATTCACTGTAAAATAAGATGCACAATTTTGTGCTTTGCTGTGTGCAGTCTTTTCCTTTTGCTTTGTCACACTCCTTTTATTGTACAGATCTGTCTTATACGTATAGCACTGTTTCAGATAAAATACATTGGGACTTTTGTCTCCTCATTTTGTCTTTGCTTTTCAGACTGGATCTGAAGTTGTAATGAATTTTACAAGCAAATCCAAAACTCTGCATAGGTTCTTCTTTCAAAGAAAGTCTCTGGCTGTACAAACAGTGCCAACAGACATTTATCTGATCAGTCTCCATCACAGTTAAAGTTTGTTCCTTAGCAATGTACAAATCCTTTCTGTACTGCACTGCGTTGGTGTCTGGCTGAGTGTTTGTCATGTACCAAACATTAGGGAAGGCAAGAGAAAATAAGAAAACAAGCCAATTCTTAGCACCAGCAGATAGCATACCTTCATTATTCAGGTCGACCACTGAACAAATATGAGCTGAAAATGTGAAACAGCCATGAAAAGAAAGCAGATATCAGAGCAAAAGAATATTTCCTGGAGAGATGGGAAAGCTCTGGTCCCATTGTGGCATCAGTGAGAGCTGAAATACAGCACACAGCTCTGGTTAGCAGTGCTCAAAAAAATAATTGAGCCTGGAAGGGGTGCAGAGAGTTGCTCCTAGGATGAAGAGGGGATGAAAATTCCCACTCCTCAAAGAGTTTGTTGTAGTGCAGCAGGAGATAAATACCGATGATGGAAAACTCCATCAGGCAAAGAATAATGATGGCATATGAAGAACTAAATATAAAACATCAGTGAATAAGCGTAGGCTGGAAATTAGATCCTAACCTCTAACATTGGTGTTGGAGAAGTGAGGCTTTGAAGGAGTAGTTCAGGGAAGTAGGGAGGGTAGAAATCTGAATGACTTCAGTATGGCATACTATTATCTACCCAAGGCTGTGGGATTGGACTTGATGGCCCAAGACATCCTTTGCCACCACACTATTTAACTCAGATGCAAGGTGCCTAAACAGGTCTGCATAATTTCAAACACTGCTAATCACCCTATGCACAAAGTCATTGCTAAAGTGCTGCTTGAATGAGAGCTTAAACTCAGATATTTGGAATTTGCTTCCTCTAATTAGGGCAGAATATTTGATAACTGTGTTTTAAAGAGCTCTTGGTGTGAGTGATACAGATGAAATTAAAGGAGTTAGACCTCATAGGTCATCATTATAGGATGATATACACAGGACAGCAATCTCACAACTATGGCCATGGCCAGTACCCATAACTCTTCTTTTCTGAGTTTGTTGCCCACGAAGCAGAAATAGTAGTTGTTTGCTGGCTCACAGTGGGATGGTAAGAAATAAATGATGAAAATATCTCTGCTCTCCATGACTTTTGAAGATGGGGGAAGGCAGAGGTTCACTTGAGATTACATAAGGAAGTCTATAGTGACCAAAAAGGGTCATCTTTCTTATTGGTGCCATGGTTTGGCCCCAGAGCAGTTCCTTCCTCACTCCAAGCAAAGCAAGATAAACATTCCTGGATTTTGCAGAAATACATGTCACAGAACAGTATCTTCCCAAGCAAATGTATTCTGGTGGTTGATTAAACCCTTCAGATTCATTCTGGAGTTTAACCAATCACAGGAGCAGTTTGTTGCTTCTTACACTCCCAAATCATAGATTTCACTGCTCAGCCAAAGATAGAAGAGAACACACACGCTTAGGGTGGAAGCAGTCAACATAACATGCTGTACTTGCTAAAGCCAAGTGGTATCAATGAAATATGTCACTGATTTATCCCTTTTTTTTTTTGCTAGCCATGTCTCCTGGCCAGGACAGCCATGCCAGCATGGAAAACCTTCCTGCATCCGAACAGATCCTGCAAACTCTGAGTGAGCTGGCCAGGTCCTTCCAAGAGATGGCTGACCGCTGCCTGCTGGTTCTACATTTGGAAGTCAGGTAATAGCCCAGAATTTGGGGGTTGTGGTGAGCTCAGAAAGCTGCAGGTCAAAACTGTGTCCAGAGCTCACATTATGGCATATGAATGGTATATTTGCCTGCCTTCCTATGAAGAAAGGTTGAGGGAACTGGGCTTGTTTAGCTTGGAGAAGAGAAAGCTCTGGGGAAACCTCATTGTGGCCTTCCAGGACTTGAAGGGAGCATATAAACAGGAGGGGGAACGGCTGTTTATGAGGGTGGATGGTGATAGGACAAGGGGAATGGTTGTAAACTGAGACAGGGGAGGTTTAGGTTAGACATTAGGAGGAAGTTTTTCACCCAGGGGGTGGTGACACACTGGAACAGGTTGCCCAAGTAGGTTGTGGATGCCCCATCTCTGGAGGCATTCAAGGCCAGGCTGGATGTGGCTCTGGGCAGCCTGGGCTGGTGGTTGGTGACCCTGCACATAGCAGAAGGGTTGAAACTAGGTGATCATTGTGGTCCTTTTCAACCCAGGCCATTCTATGATTCTATGATGTATCCAGAAATGCCAGGTCCCATAACTATGGGTGGCCAAATGTGGGGCGGAGGCAAGATATTAATACTGGGGTTTTGTAAGAGGGTCTGTATCTTGTGTCAGAAACTAGAAAAAAGTTTTTTTGCAAGCTTTGTCCATAGATAATTGCACAATGTTTTTAAAGCCTAACAGGTGTCTGCATATTTATTAGCCATTGCGCTTTGGATTGCAAATAAAAGCTTTTCTTACTGCTTTTTTTTCAAATAGTGAGAGAATCTGGGGAATAGAAGGTAAGCACCAGCTGGAACTTTTAAAGGGCTGGAGAGTTTTGTGATGTCTCTGACTACACATGCAAAGATGAAAAGCAGCAAATCCCTTTCTTCAGGCTGCCAGCTGTCCACTCTGGGGCTGGGAAAGCATTTGTCCCTTATGCATTGGCCAGGTGTATTTTCACTGCTTCCTTTTTTTCTGAAGCATCAGATATAAGTGGATGTCATAGACAGGCAATGAGACTTGATGGGCCATTGTTTTGTTCTTCTGTGGCATATCCTGAGCCATCTTTTGTCTTCATGTATGTTGACAGAGCTCTCATGAAGTCAGTATGTAGCTTTAAAAAATACACATCAGTTATTGTCAGCAGCCCTTCGACCTGCTATCCATCATCTGCTGCCTACTTGATTGCAGGCATCATAGATGAGCTGGGGCTTGAAGGATTTGAAGAAAAGATTGTTAAAATATGGAAATGGAGCAGCTTTCCAGCCACAGTGTAATGCAAGGTGATGCCAGGGCTAACCCAGACTCATGATCTGGGCACCAGCCTGAATGGGTTTCTGGTTTTCTATCACACTTTGGTTAAGCAGAAATAGGTGCAAATATAATTCAGGACAATTTTCACTGCTGCAGACAGCAAAAGAGGGGTTGAGACTTTGCAGTGAGCTGCTTGGTTTTCTCCTACCTTAGGGACCCCCCATTTGTTCACAGCTTTGCCAGATGCTGATTAGCAAAAGCCTGGGGTTAGATTCTCCTCTACAACTATCAGAGCATGACCTGAGGACTATGGTCCCTGAGACCCTGCACCTTGGGTCTGCTTCCTTAAATGAAACCTGTTGGCACATCCAGATCATTAACCATTTCTTTTGGGGTTGCCCAATGAGGTGGTGGGTGCCTGAACCATGGAGGCATTACAGGACAGGCTGGACCAGGTTTTGAGCAATCTGATTGTGCTGTAGGTGTCCCTTTGCAGGGAAGTTGGACTAGGTGACCTTTAAGAGCACCTTCCAACTCAAGTGATTCTACGATTCTTTAGTCACAAATAACCATGAAATTTCAGATTACTTAATCTGTTACTATGTTTTACTATTAAAACAGCACCTATACAACATTATATAGGAGCTAAATGATAGATATATTTTCACTCTGGAAGTTGCCCTAGATTGAACTTGCTTGTGATGGCCATCTCAAGGACATTTTCCATGAGGACTGGGACACAGAAACCAGAACTTAGTCATCACAACTTAGAGAATCATAGGATTGTTCAAGTTGGAAGCAACCTTTAAAAGTCATCTACTCCAATTCCCTTGCAACGAACAGGGGCATCTACAGCTTGGTCAGGTGGTTGGAGGCCAGTCCAACCTGACCTTGAATTTCTCCAGGAATGGGGCATGTACCACATCTCCCACCCCATCCCAACCCAGTGCTGTTTGAGCCAGCCAGTCTGACATGAATTTTATGTCTCAGTGTGCTGAACCTGAGATACACTTTGAATGCAAGGGATATTTCAGCCAGGCTGCAATTCAGCTATGATTCCCTGATGGATGAAGTTCAGAAGAGTCCAACCAAACTCCTGACCCCAGTCCCCATTGAGTGATGTGGGTGAAATCCAAGAATTACAGAAGTCATAGGAGTTTTGCTATTGACTTTGCTGATCATAGCATTTTCCACTATGAGTTCAAGAGAAATGACCTAATTGCAGATTTTTGCAGAACAAAATGTGAGTGCACAGGACTTTTTCCTTTGATGGAAAAGATGATGGTGATGCATGTTGCCAGCAGATCAACATGTCTGGCAAACTGGAAAGAAGTTGCAGTCATATTAAATGTTTGGGAAGATGCAATCTTGGCCTTCAAATTACCATTGAATGCCCCCTGGCTCACTCATTTTTTCCAGTTATAAGGGCTTTGAGGGCTAACAGTACATGCAAGGAGTCGTCATTGGAGCATCAGTATTGAAGTGCTGCAGAACCAACATGTTTGAAAATGGAGAACCTGGTTAAAAGGCACTTGGCATTTCAGAGTGATGGTGTAGGTCGTATCTGTTAATAGAGGGTCCTTTGTATTCACCTCTCAAGATAGGTCAAGAGACAGATGCATTTAATGCAAATGTAGCCACTCATTTCTTAAAATTACTTTTTACTTGCTTGAACTTTAGAAGGAAAATTATAAGGAAGCACTTTTACCTCTAATGTATTTAATACGTTGTCATGATAAGTAATTCGCTTGGGGCTTTTTTGTTTCATTGATTTTTATTATTCCAAAAATAAAAGATTTATGTTCAAGAGAGCTTAACTATGCTCTCTAGCCCCTCTGTATCCCTGCAGTATCCTATATATGTCATTTTTCCACAGCGTAATTGGCAGTGCTTTTCAGAAGACCCAACCACAAAGCCATGTCAAGGTCACCACAGATATGCTGGTGTTTGGAGGGAGAAATAAAAGGAACAACTGCCCTCTTTGGCAGCCTTAACCACTGCAGAGATGTTACAGAGATACTCTTCATCAGAGCCTGAGATGTAGATATCCCTGTTCATTGCAGAGGAATTGGAATAGATGATCTTTAAGGGTCCTTTCCAAATCAAACAGTTCTATGATTCTGCTGGGGAGCTGGCTAACACATGATAAAAAAAAAAAAGAGATAATTATCTAAAAATTGGAAACTCTGAAGGCCTCCATGGACTGGTAATGAGATTAAGAAAAAAAAAATAAAATTCTTTTAGGTCTTCACATCAGAGCAAGGGAAAATGGGCACTGGAAGGTCCATACATCCTCCAAGCTTCCTAGAGCTGCTTGATGTGCTGGCAATAGGCACTTTTGCAGCTGGCATCCAAATCATGAGGTATGTTTCGCTCACAAGGGAATGGTCCCTTCAGTTATCCTCCTTCTTTCCTGTCCTGACTGAGAAACTGAGAAACCAAAAACAGAACAAGCAGTGCAGGCATACTCTTCTTTGTCCAAATCATTTGGCTCTTGAGTTGTGTTTCTGTTGGTAGGCTTTCACTCTCTTCTCTGGGATCTGCACAGCCTTTAGAGGACTTGAACATACAGATGGCTAGCATTTCTCTCCATGAAAATAAACATCCTACTACGATGTTTTTTTTATGCCTAGAACCACTTCTGAGTAACACCCACTGGTATTTTAATGTTGGCGTAGCTGTGCTGTAACGTTTCTCTCTTCTGTCTTGCAGAGTTCATTGCTTCCACTACCTGATCCCATTGGCTAAACAAGGGAACTATGCCATCGTTGCCAATGTGGAGAGCATGGACTATGACCCCCTTGTTGTCAGGCTCAATAAGGACATCAGTGCCATCGAGGAAGCCATGAGCGCCAGCCTCCAGCAGCACAAGTTCCAGTACATCTTTGAAGGTCAGACATTTGTCAGCAAGTTTGTAAGAGTTTGGTTCCTATCAAATGATTTTTTGTTTTTATTGCAGAGCTCAGAAGTATTCTCTTTCACGGTGAGACAAGAAAAAATTGCTGCAAACTAGAACAGGGGAGATTTTGATTGGATATAAGGAAAAAGTTTTTTACAGGAAGAGTGGTGAAGCACTGGAACAGGTTGCTATCGACGTGATGGATTCCCCCATTCCTGGAGATTCAGGGTCATCTGAGCAACCTGATAAAGCTGTAGGTGTCCCTGTTCATTGCAGGGGAGTTGGACCAGATGACCTTTTTGGGAGGGTCCCTTCCAACTCGATTCATTCTGTGATTCTATGACTTGAACACACAGTGTGCTTCTGTTGCCATCTACAGCAAATTGATTGGTGGGATCCATGCATACATAAGTCAAAAACTTGTTGCCTCTTTACCATTTCTGAGTGTCTTTGATAGAACCAATCAACCCATTCTGAGCATGAAAAGGGTAGGCTGATGTACATGCAGGATAGTTCATCAGGAAGCCATATATATTGCAAGCACAGCTCTATTATAGCACAGTCCCTATCCAAAGTGTAGCCATTCCAATACTAAAATTAAATTTCGAGAACATTAGCTCTTCTGATGTCTCATCTGTTGTGATTACCTTGGAAAATAGAAATCACATCTTGGTTCATCTCCCTGTATTTATTTGTGGCACTGACGCACAGTGGTCTTACTGTGTGCCAGGGTGTGTGGATGTCAAAATCAGAAGAGTGGGGACTGGAGATGCACTCATTGCATTGCTAGCAGGGATGAAGGCTGTGCAAGCCTTGTTAGCCTTCTTCTGATCAGCATTTAGGTTGCCTGAACATGAGCATATTTTCATAATTCTGACTTTTAATCAATGTTTAGTCTTTTACAGACCCCTATACTGAGTGAATTGGGCTACATTTTTTTCTATTTTCAATGCTTCGTGTGTGGGTACATCATTCTGAGATTTCCTGTGACTTTTAGAAGCCTGCCATGTCCTTCAGTAGCAGAGGAAAGATGGAGACATCACTCAATCAAAAGAAACTATCAGAGAAGCTGTGCATCAAGTGCATTGAAATGCAGCTCATTTTTGCTCTTGTGGGCTGAGAATTTGCCAGGAAAAATACCATCCTTGATAATAGATCAGAATAGTATCATTTTTTCAGAGCAATAGTGGTCCATTGATCTGCTAGAGAGAAAGGGATGGAAAGGGATGTTCTGATAAATCTGGGAGTGTCCTGTAAAAATCAGTGGCTACAGTAGTGCAACTTTGAGTTTTTATATGTTTTTATCTTTTTTTTTTTTATCTTTGCTAACAAAGGGAATCGTGAGGAGAGTCAGAAAATTCACATGGAAGATGGTGAACTGCTTCCAGATGCAGTCTGATGTATCTCTCTTTTCAGGTCACAGACAGCCATTCCATGCCCATTCCTGGGTTTTATGATGAATTAATGCCAGTAAATGTCTTTCTCCTCTCGTTTTATTATTTGTTTCTTTCCTTCCTTTACAGGTTTGGGCCACCTCATCTCCTGCATTCTTATCAACGGAGCCCACTACTTCAAGCGCATCAGTGAATCTGGCATCAAGAAAATGTGTAGGAACATTTTCATCCTCCAGCAAAACCTGACAAACATCACCATGTCACGTGAGGCTGACCTGGACTTTGCAAGGTGAGCTAAGAGCCCTAATTGTGTTTGTTATTATTTCGATGCCCACCGTGCAGCTGGATGGGTGATACGGTGAAGTTAAACGTATAGAAGTGGTAGTTGTAATATTCACTTTCCCCCTTTGTTGTGTGGGAGGTTCAGCTGAGATCCATTCGGAGCTCAGCATCAGCTCGTTGTGTCCATGCTGGGTGATTTCTGTCCATGTAATTCTCTTAAGACCTAAACTCAGGCAAGGAAATGTTTCTAGATACAACTGATGCATGGAATTTCATCTGGATGAAGGTGAGGCCTCTGATGGCCCAAATGAGTTACACTTCAGTTTGTTGAAGACTTAAACTTAAGGCATGTTGTCTTCCTTCATGTTCTGTTGCTCCCAGAATTGTAGCAATACCAAAACCAAAACCAGACATGGAAGCTCAACTGCAAGTTTCTTTTCTGTTTTGCTGCTTTATTCACTGAAGGGGGGTCATTTGAGGCATAATCACAGGGTGTCATTCTCAGCAGAATTGTGTTGTCTGAACCTCTGTGGAAGCAATCATAGAATCATTTGAATTGGAAGGGAACCTTAAAGGCCATTTTAGTCCAACTCCCCTGCAGTGAACAGGGACATCTACAGCTCCATCAGGTTGCTCACAGTCCTGCCCAACATGACCTTGAGTATCTCCAAGGATGGGGCATCCACCACCTCTCTGGGCAACCTGTGTCACTGCCTCAACTCCCTTATTGTGAAAAACTTCTTCCTTATATCCAATCTAACTCTCCCCTGTTCTAGTTTGAGACCATTTTTCCTTGACCTATCAGAACAAACCCTGCTAAAGAGGCTGTCCTCTTCTATCCTCTTTACATAGTGAAAGACAGTGGGCAGCTGGGTCCAAGAAATAGCCAAAAGAAGAGCCTAGAACTTGCAGTTGGAGGCTTGTAAGCTCATATGACACTCAGCTATGACCCTCTGCCAACATTGGTGTCACCATTTGGCCATCACTCTTTGGAGACTGAATTACTGGAGAAGTGTGACTCCCTTAGAGAAGGGAAAGTAGATATGACTGAGTGCCTCATTTACTTGGGCTCTCATATGGGGAATGATCTCATTATTGAATTAGTCTTTTCATAATAACATTGACGTGGGGAAATTATGAATGCTGAGGCCTGGAGGAGAGAGAAGAGAGTGAGAGCAATAGATCCATTACTAATTCTCTAGGGAATAAAGTTCCCAAATTGAATCTTTCCTTTTTAATTTTTTTTTTTTTTTTCCCTGATCTGTTGAAATGTTAAGTAAATTAGCCCAGTTTTTTGGCAGGCAGAGCAGGGCTTCATCATATGCTGACAGAAACTGGCACCCAACTAATGAAATGCTGACCAAGTGCTGTTGGAGGCTGGCTTGGTGCTGGCCATTTTCCGATGGGTCTTTGCAATCTGGGTTGAACAACGACAGATCTGTGACTTGTTGTGCTGCATAATTTGACACGGAGTTTGAAGTGAAGGGTGAGGAGGGAACATATTCCCCCCTTCTGGTCTTGCTTGATGGATGATCATGCAAGCAGTTTTCACAATATGAAGCACACATATACTGTATGGGCTATGTGGCATGTAGATTTTGTCCTGCACCATTTGAGATGCTGAGTACCATCACTGAGAGCTCACTGAGATACCTGTTCTGTACAGCAACATGAGTTGCCATGCAGATTTCTTCCCATAATACAAATTCAGCAGCTTGTTCCTGTGGTTGTTTTTTTGGTGGGTTGTTTTTTTTTTTTTAGCTTTCTTGACTGCATTGCTTCCCTCTTTCTTTTGGGGCAGACTTCTGTAATGTAGAGAATGTTTTATTCTTTTGTTCTTCAGATGGCTCCTGAATGCTCATTATCTGGATTACCCTTTTACATATACAAAGCATCTTGTGCATCTGAACCCTGCCCTGCTCACCTGAATATACAATTACCCAAGCAAGTCCTCACATTACCCCAGGGACTCCAGTTACTGAGGTCTATTCCAACTATAAAATAAACATAACCATTCACGCCCCAAAAGCATAAAAAAGCATCAATGTAGGATAAAAGTGATTTGTGCTTCTGTGATCTCTCTCATATAGCAATCTGTAAATGCTTTGTGCAGTGGCTGACTACCAGTTTTGCCTTTTTAAAGGTGGGAAGTTGAGAGCAAGTGGTTATTTCACACGCAGGATCAGTGGCAGAGTTGCAGAAGAAATAGGATGAGAGGGAATGGCCACAAGTTGCGCCAAGGGATGTTCAGTTGGATATTAGGAGAAACTTCTTCTCTGAAAGAGTGGTGATGCATTGGAACAGGCTGACTAAGGAGTGGTAGAGTCACCATCCCTGGAGGTATTCAAGAAATGTGGAGATGTGGCACTGAGGGACATGGTTAGTGGGCCTGGTGGGGATGGTTGGTGGTAGGACTGGATCATCTTAGTGGTCTTTTCCAACCTTTATGACTTTACAATTCTTCAAGACTATTGATGTGCTCCATAGAGCACTGGTATTCCTCTATCATCTCTGTCCCAGTAGATGATGTTTCTTCATTCATAGGCAGTAGAAACCCCAATCAGGGAAGGTGGACAGGGAAGACCCTTCTCTTCTGAAGCCAAAATCACGTAGAGGGTTCACAGCAAAATCCTGCCCATGTAACACAGGTGGTTCCGGTGAGACTCTTGCAGGTTAAACCACATTCTTCAAAAGATTTACAACCTGCAGGTGACAGCAGGCTCTGGGAACATATGCTGCTTTGGGAACAGTACCATGGAATGGGAAGAATCTGCTTCAGATGGGTTTTGCTTTAAGATTCTCCATTCAGGGTGGAGTGGAACAGGGAAACTCTGTGCAGAGCATCACAAAGCAGAGCTGGAGCAATTTCCAGTGGAAAGAAAGAAACTGCCAAGCTTTGTGAGCTGTAGGAAGGAATATCTTCACCTCAAGAAGAAAGGGTAAAATAGGCTGGTTCTGTCTGCTGAGGTATCACAAAAGGACGTGTATCAGTCACTAAGTTTCCTGCAAATATGAATAAGGTTTTCTCTTATGTGTGTTCTGTATCTAGGCCAGCAGAAATGCAGACAATTATTAGGACATCCACCGCTATATTAAAGAAAAAGTAGTATTTTCTTTCTGTATATAGCATCTGGTCACATGCTGCAAAGTCTAGAATAGAGCATGGATTCTAAATACCTCCACATTCTGTAAGTTTCAGACCCAGATTTAGATTTCTGCCATTACAGGGATAGAATTCAGCATCAAATACAGACTCCAGTTCAGATCTTTTCTTGTCTGCCTCCTTTACCTCCTCTCTATCCACCTGAAATGTAATTACATGTTTATGCAGAGATTTCATCAGAGGCATTCAAAAAAGGCTTAGGCTTCTGTTGAGACTTATCCTTACAGAAAATATCATTCCATTCTTAGATATTCATTTTCCATTGGGAAAAAAAAAAAAGAAAAAAAAAACACCACTTTTTCAGCCACACAGCAATGATAAAATTGCCCTTTTCCCAAAAGTTAATGGAGTTGATTCTGAAGGAAGGGAGGGGACTAGTGGTAAAATGTGGCTATTTCATACAAAGCAATATAATTCTAACCTCTGAGATAATGGGTTTTGAATGGTGCTACTCTTCATTACTGGGTCTGAAAGCATTCTTCATCTCTTCGTACTGAACCAGAGTTGTTCTGAACACCTAAAAGCTGGTTCCCAGCTGCTACCATTCAAGCTAGCAGTTGCAGTGACCATCCATCCCAAAGGACCACCAACATCTTTTCCTGCTGCTGAAGATGTTACCAGGGTCATTGGCTCTGGCCACATCTTTCTAATAGATGTGACACCCACCTTTTCCCTGCTGGTGGATCCTGGCCACGCTGGAGAAATCCACAGTGCAAAGGCACAGGGAGAAGGCATCAGCATGTCAGGCAGCTGTCCTCAGATCGGGCATGAATAAAGCTTTGAAATGTAGTTCAGACACCTGTGATCAAATGTGTCCGTATACAGAGTCCACTTGAATTGTTAGTGTTCACAAAAGAGAAATGACCTTTGGTTCCTCTCCCCAGCAAAATACAGTTGCAGCTGCTGCTCTGACCCCGTTCCTTCATGCCCACGTTCTCCCAGTGAGACCTGTGATGCTATGGGGTAAATGCTTGGATACTAACATCCTTGGGGCAAACACCTTTCCTGCACCCATACAGCCACCAACATCAGGGGAGAGCTGCACCAGTTCTTAGACTGATTGCAAAGTAAGTGAGGACTGGGAAACAGCAAATCCATCTGAGCTCTGCTTTGGCACCTAGAAAAACCTTAATTTTTCCTTGTGAGTTTGTATGAATCACAGCAGCAGAGTGGGTATAGACCCTCTGGATTTCATTCTAGCTCAGCTGGTAGCAAAAGGTAGAGAATGACCATGTGCTAAAATTCGCAGTGCAAACAGGCACAATGCTTTCAACACAAACATCCATGGAGGTGGCAGGGCTGTCCCATCCAACCCTTTGAGGAGCAGGATTTTGGAGGAAGCTTTATTACAGAGTACAGTTCTGATTGGGGTGCTCAGTGTTTTGGGTTCCTTTCCTGTAACGACCAGGGGGAAAGGATTTGTTTAATTGCAGAGAGTTAGGAGAGATTTATGCCTCCTGCTCGATGCTGTCCCATGCAAGTTGAATAAGCAATAACATGCTGCCATCTACTGGGTGCTGCAGAGGGTAAGGAAAGCCAATGTGCTCTAAGTCCTTTTCATTGCCAGATATTATTTCTCTTCCTAATTTTTGTCTTGATATATACATGAACTTCTGCACACTGAACCCCAGGTTAAGCAGATTGGAGCTTGGATCCCCTTGATTCATTGGCAAACTGCTCTTCTGCTCTCAGGTCCATCTGCAGTACTCCTCCACTACCTCTCTTCACTTGTAGTTCAAAACTGGACAGCATTCAAAACAGCAAATGTGGGCCATTTAATATTATTTTGTTTGAATAAACTTCACATTGGTTGATTATAAAACTTGGGTGCCAAGCACTGTATT